TTAGGCCTTCAGTTCAGTCTCCTTCTGGGAAGAAAATGCTTGTTCTGAGGGTGGCACACACACAGTTTACTCATAACCATTGGCAGATGGCTGTGAATCCCTTCTGTTCCCGGGAATCGCATCAGGACTAACTGCACTGTGCCTTTTCCATCACTGGGAGCTAATCCTGACAATGACGTTGGGCATCATTAATACATGAAGAACAGACTTAAAGAGAGAAGGAAGGTGACTTGGGCTGAGTCAAACAGCAAAGTTAAAAGAGCAATCTCCCAGCAACTAACCTCACCCTGGGCTCTGTCCCATGTGGCTGGAAGCTCCACAACCCTGCTCCTTTTTTTGTACTTTGGACAACAGATTCACTGGCTATGGAAGCAGGTCTGACTTGTCTTGATGATAAGTCAGAAACCGTCTTTGGTATGGTGTTTTATAATCCTGCTGTATTTCCTGCTTGGCAGGAGGCCTACCACTGAAAGTCTCTGGATCTTTAGTTTGTCCTCCACTCATATGTAATAAAGAATTAATTCTTGATGTCCCCTCCCTCATGGAAACTGATGATGGGGTAGATAATGAAGGATCTGTATCATCCTTTCCACAGGTGAACACTAGGCCAAGTGGAGCATCACAACCACCAATATAGCTCTGAAAACAAATTCTGGGGCTATGGTGTAGCTGAGTGCTAGAACACTTGCTAAGCATATATGAGACCTGGGATTCAGCCTCTAGCACCACAAAAGTATACCCTGGAGCTTGACCAGTTCAGCTTGGAATGCTTCCCCTTTCCCCAGGGCACCCAATGTGAAAGGAGCCCCCTTGAGCTGAGAAGCAGCTGTTCCAGTCCTCTATCACCTAGTTGAAGGCACCGTCTCTGTGAGACAGGAGATACTGTAGTCTGTTCTGAGTATTCCCTTGGACACACTGTTCCCCGAATCTTGGCACTTCTTATAAACTGCCTGTTGTCTTCATATAACTGTTTCAAATCTTTGCTTCTCATTTCCTCAGGGAGCTACTGGAGGGTAAGGAGTGTGTATATATTGCATCCTTCTCTTAGTGTTCCACAAATGCCAGCTCCATTAGTACATAGTACATATTCAATGCATATTGGTCGAACTGATAGAAGTATTATAGATGGGAAATCGGACACATTTCTTACTTATTTAGACAGATGCTCCTTGTCCTTTGGAAACATACTGATCACATGGGAAAACTCACATAGAGACAGAAGCCCTGGTTTTCGATCCTGGCTGTGTCCTAAACTCCCACTGTGATTTGTCATAAGTCACTAGCCTTCTTTGGTATTTAGTTTCCTCATTTGTGAATCAGGGCTGTTAAGTAAGCTTCATGTTAGTGCTGAGTTTGAGCTACTCTATATAGAAAGGAGGAAATATTTTCCCATGTGAATGTCTTTAAAGTGTATATATTGATCCCAGGTCTGAAATGAAAAGCTCAAGTAGCAAGCAAAGTGTATGCTTTTGGTCAAGCTTCTGTGTACAGTGTATATGGAGGGTTGTTGCTCACTTCTCATTCATGTCCTTGGCTTTGACTGGACTCTTCCACCTGAAGAATATCAAATATTCTCTATCTGCATGCCTGCTTTCCCATCCATGAATGAGCCAGTGCAAAGGTACATTCCAGTTCGGCTTCCCCTTGTCCCTCTGAGCAATTCTGGTGAGGGTCAAAATGTCCACTGTCATGTCCAGTAAGACCTTTTCAAGCAGTGTGCTCTTAGAAGGACAAGAAAGACACAAGACATCAGCTTTTGCCTTCATGGAACATCTCATTTGTATATGAAGTCAGTATAAGGACTTGAGGAAAAGATGTGCTATTTATGAAAAGGCACCTGGGAACTAAGGGCTACTTTGATATACATCCAGTACCTAGAACAGTACCTGCTCCATAGAAGATGCTCAACATATATATATATTTTTTTCAGATATATATATATATATATATATATATATCTGAAAATGGGTAGAAATTTCTATGACTTTCAAACTTTATTTTAAAGAGAAAACTTCAGCGCAATTGTGTCTGGAGCCTCACTCACATGAGTGAGGTGGATATGATACTGCCTTGGTTGAAGGGAGCTAGAGTCCAGTCATGCTTACTCTTTCTTATGGGGCCCAGGGAGGATCCTCAGAGGCTATTGGAAAACTGTGGTTGTATTCAGTGTAAATTAGAGGTAACTATATTCTTGTTCTCTTCCCAGTTCATTTTAGCCATGTGCAATCTTAGCAAAATAAATAGAAATTCAAAGAACACGGTCCTCCAATGGGAATTTGCGCATCTGAAAAAAAAATATTGCCAACTCCCTCCACCCACCCTCACTCCAGGAAGTCCTAGTTATTACTAAGAGCATGGAAGATGTTATTTTGAGTAAGATCCTTCTGGGTTGATCCACACATGTATACAAAAGTAGTGTTTGTTTAACTTAAATATGGGAGGGAAAAGAAAAAAAAAAAACACTGTCCTAAAGCTTTCCGGCATTTAATAGAAACTCATTTGGTTTCCCTCTCCAATATAACACAATGTCAAACTCCCTATGGTGTCTGATCAGTAACCAACTAGGTGGTCCTGCCTTTTGCACCAGTGTACCTGTGTTACCCTGGCAATTACAAACACTCCTATCCATGTTCATGGTCATCATCCGGTTCATGCAGGGGGTGAGGAGCTGCCCAGAGAATACACCCTTTGCTGCATTTGCAAGATTGTGACCCTCTGCCCAGCCTGACCTGCCATCCTTGTTTCCTCATTACCAACAGGTTAAAGACCCATCAATCCAGGGAGCTTACTTGTTCAAATGTTCCAGGAAGCAAGGTTGCATCCCTCTCCCTGCATCTGGAAGATAATTTGGGGTAACATTTATATTTTTAGACATGTCAAAAGGCTAAAGATCTTAAGAGTTTTCTTCATTATCTATGTCATGGCCCCTTCATGTACATCTCTACCTGTCCTACACATAGTTCCTCCTCACAGGTGCCAGAAGTCCTATGCAGATAATTAGTGCTGGGGAGGGGGCGGTTCCCATTTGACTGCAGAGGAACCTGGTGAAAGAAGTGGCCTTTTCCAAGATAGCAGCAAGTCACCAGAAACGTCAGCTTCTCCTGTACTACCTTGCCTTGCATGGCCACCTCATCCACCCCTTGGCTAGTCACCTGACTGGCTCTCTATCTTCAGACTCTAGCTCAGGCCTGGCTCCCAGCCACCACCCCACAGCACATGGAATAGTTATTTGGACGTAAATAGTTGGGTTAGCACCCCAGAATCTGGTTTTAGTATTAAGGACACTCAAGATTAGGGCCAGAGGGAAACTTAGGACCAGAAGAACTTGCCCAGGATCTGACAGCAAGTCCTGACAAAGTCAAGACTTCAAGCCAAGTTTTCCTGTGTTTTTCCTGCCTTCCTGGTTATATCCTGAGTTCCTCTCTTTGTAGTTTGAATAGTGCTCCCTTCTCCTTCTGTCCCTCTCTTCCTGTCCTGCCTTACCAGTGAGAGGCTTTGGAGTACTCTGCGCAATACCTGTACCTATTCTCTGGGACCTTGGTGTTTGTTGGCTCAAGGCTGGATTAAGGACCTTAATGCTGGTACCAAGCCTGTCATTCCAGCTCTGAAACATGATTTAAACTCAATTAAAATCATCCCAGCACATTTGTTTAGAAGTTAAAATGACTGAGTCTGACTTTAGGAGGTATTTCCCAGGTCCCCCAACTATGTGGCAGTGGTCAATTCTAGGTTGTCTTCAGGTGTCTGGGGTGGTGCAGTGCTCCAGATTCTACTTTGAGCACTGTCCAGGACCTGTAAACTCCGCAAGAGAGTCCTACTGAGGGCAAGCCTCCCTTCTTGGAGCAGCGCTACTGGCCTGAAGGAGCCTGCCTGTTCTTTTTACGCGTGGCTCCCTTCTGAAATGCCGGGGTGGGCGGGAGGCAAACCCCAGTGTGGTGGACCACCAGTCTGCCATTCTTACAGCTTGCGTGATCTAATCCCCCAAGCTCGGCTCTACAGCTTGTATCCTGCCCAGCCTTGGGTCACAATCCCCACTGTGAAACGTCACTGCCAGAAGTCTCTGCTTGTGAACCTGGAGACTGGCAGTTGGACTGTGGCTGAATTCGTGGACTTTCTCCAGAGTTGCGCTGCCCTAGGCCTTCATCTCCTGCCTACCACCATCCCATGCCCCCAGAGTGCCCACTGAACTCAGTAAACTCGATTCTCAAGGCTCTGCCCACCTGGCCGGCGGCTCCTGGGGCCAGTGAATCGCCACTTGGGTGCCGATTTCTCCCCCAACGCAGAAAGCAAGGGCGGGTAGGGCGCCTCCCCAGGTCCGGTCCAAGTCAATCTTATCTCGGTGCGTGTGTACCTTCCTGTCCAGCAAGCGCTACCCAACTTCCTTCGTCCGTCCACTGGTTCTGCTGTTCCCTGAGTGGGGAACAAAGCTCTCCCGAAATTGTACTTAGCTCCTTTGTGGTGCTTCCCCCAGAAAAGCCAGGAGCTTCAGTGGGGCACCTAGGCTCTTCAAGGGGTTAAAAGGTGTGGGCTTCCCGGGTACCCCTTCAATCCAGCTTCCCTTTGCAGACCGCAGCCTTCACTCCCCTGAGGGGAGTCTGGCATCCCAGCAGACCCTGTGTCTGACCCCTCGAGGGACCGGTCTCCCCAGGGCGGGGCGGAGGACCTTAGCTAGCAGCTGGCAAAGCGGACCCGTTTGCTGGCTACTTTGGAGGTGGGATGGAGTAGGATTTAGAGATAGAAAAGCCTGAGAGAAGAAGCCTGAGTTCCTCTCCCCGGTCCAGGAAAGACCCAAGTCGCAAGTGGTAAATAAGAATGTGTAAATACTAACAACCTCAAAAGAAAGCAAGAAAAGCTAAGCCAAAAGAAGCAAGCACAACGCTGTTACAAAACTGTCTGGTTTTGTAACAATTTCCCCGCTACCGGCCAATGAGCAGCGTGGTGGCGCGTCACGTGGTGACGTTTTATATAACACTTTGCTGAGACAAGACAGTTATTAGGCAGCGCAGGGCAGCCGGCATGGAGCTCCAGGAGGCGAAGCAGAACTGGGCACACCGCGACATCGCATTCAGGGCAGCCCCTATTGCTTCTAGCCGCCACTCCTTTCTCCTTGCTCCCTGCTTCTAGACGCCTCTTCCCCCACGCGCTGGTCCCTCTCTCTATGGATTCATTTCAGACTACACAGATGATGAGCTTGTCCGCCGAGCTCGGCAGCAACAACTTAGAACTGGCTGAGCTGGCGGAGCCTGAAGAGCCGGAGGCATCAGCCGCCCAGGGAGACTCAGGTGCCCACCCAGAGGTGCCTAGAGGGGACTCGGAACCTCTCCCGAAGGGGGAGCTGGAGCAGCGACAACCTCCCGGGACCTCGACGCCGCCAGAGTGCAAAGTCCTTCTAACACAGGCCGATGCCTTGGCATCCGGGGGACGCCTTCGGGAAGCCCTCGAGGTGTACAGACAGCTCTCTGAGAGGCAGCAGCTAGTGGCTGAGCAGCTGGAGCAGCTGGTGCGCTGCCTGGCGGAGAACGTCCAGCAAAAGGAGATGGTAGCGCCAGCGCCCTCGGACCAGAGCAGCACCTCCGCGGTGCAAGAGGCAGGGGAGGCTGCTGCCATGGCCCCGGAGGTGTGGGATGGCTTTAAGTGCCGGAAGTGTCAAGGATTTCTCTCAGACCCGGTGTCCTTGTCGTGCGGCCACACCTTTTGTAAACTGTGTCTGGAACGTGGGCGGGCAGCTGATAGGCGCTGTGCGCTCTGCGGGGTCAAGCTCTCCACTCTGATGGTAGCAAACGGGCGGCCGCGCGGGACGCGGCGGCCTGGGCAGGGGCCACCGCAACTACGAGTCAATGTGGTACTCAGCGGCCTTCTGGGCAAGTTGTTCCCCGGCCCGGTTCGGGCGTCGCAACTCCGGCACGAGGGCAACCAGCTGTACCGGGAACGCCAGGTGGAGGCTGCACTGCTCAAGTACAATGAGGCAGTTAGGCTCGGTGAGTCCTGTGCGCCGCCGCCTGAGCTGCCGGGGGCTTGGTCGCGACACAAACTGGGCGGGAGAATGAACCCGGCTGGGAGATGGTGGGGGTGGGGAGTGGGGTGGACCAGGACAAAGCTGGGTGTGGGGAAGGATGGGATGGACTGTGGCCCTGGTGGAGGAGGGACATTTCTAGGAGTTTGATTTCTCTACTTTAGCTTTCTTTACACTGCCTTGGTTCCTCTGATTCTGTTGCTTTTGGTTTTGGTCCTTTTCTGCATTTCCTGATAGCTTTTGTGTTTCTGTATCTTTTGGTCCCAGTATCTGTCAGTTTCAACCGGCGCCTCACTTTTTTCTTTCTGCATCTTTGTCACTGTGTTTCGATCTTGCTCAGCCTCGCCGTCTCTACTTCTCTCTTTCCTGGCACGTCTGAACTCTCTTTTACACCTGCCGGCACCTTCCACGCCAAGAGAGGAACTTCGCATCCTTTTCCAAACTTGCGCGCGGTCCTCCTCGAGCTTACCAGCTGGAGTTGTCCGGCTGATGTACGAGTCTTCAGCTCCAGTCTGTGGGTGTTGTCCCTTCCCAGGCCGCGGCTCCCTGTGGGGTGGGTCGGGACTGGAATTAGGTCAGGAGAGCACTGGTTGCATAAGGGCCGCGAGCTGCCCGGGCCGGCGGCCCCTCCTCCGCGCAGGCGGGCGGGCAAGCGGGCGGGCGGGCGGGCGGCAGGGATTGTGTAACGCTGAGGTAACTGAAGTGGGCCATGCTTGCTTCAGAAACCATCCCGCGAGCGTGTGCGGGGTGAGGGGGAGCACTCGCGCCCCGCTGCCCTGTGACTCATTGTCACCGCTTCCTATCACACGATCCTTGGCTGAAATAGATGCACCCCCTCCTTCCTCCACTGCAGCCAGACAGAAGCCTATGCCCTCACTTCGAACCCCTTGATCTCGCCAGCCCAACAACCTAAGGGACAAAGCAACTGCTAAGGATCCCCTGGAAAACAAGGGCTGGCTACAAAGGGGACACACTTCTTTCTGCCTTCTCTGAAATTTGTCTTGAAGAGGTGGAGTGGGCTTTGTAGCTTCAAGGGCAACCGGGGAAGTTCCACACCTCTTCAGGACTGGAGTTATCCCAGCGACCTGTTTGCTCCGCCCACCCTGACCCAACCCAGGAAGTGGCCACAGAGCGGCCAGCTAGTGCCAGTAGCTGGTGAGGAGGAAGCAAGGCTAGGCAAACAGGGCTGTGGGTTCCTAGGACATACTAAGCCAACTCTGATGGATAGAATAATGGTGGGATGGAATCTTCACATGTTGAATTCCAGGGAAAGCAACAGGTAATAGGGCAGGGAGCACAATCAAGCCGATTGGGCATGGTGGTTGAGGGACATGGACCCCCTTACACGCATTCATGTATGTGCCCAAGCAAACCAAGCGGAGAGCTGCCAGAGCTGATGTGTGTTTCAGAGGAATGACAGAAAAGACTGTAAACTCTGCTAGAGCCTTAAGGGTGAGTAATGGGTACCCAAGCCACCCTTGGACATACTTCTGGGGTGGGGTGGAGGCTGGGCATCAAAAGCTGTGGCAGGCAGCAGAAGCTGGAGCCCAGAACTTGGGAAAGAAAGCAGCAATATGAATGAAATAAGTACAGATCCTTAAGGAAGACTGTTATTTCTTTCTGCCATTCCCTAAGGGCCAGCCAGGAAAACCCCTTCCCTGGAGTCTTTCCTGTACTTTGTTAATCTCCTTAGACCAGTCAAAATATCAAGACCACTTTTCTAAAAGGAAAAGGGGTCCCTTTAGCAGACTCTTTGCCCTGGAAATAGCTAGTGTCCCATTCTCCTAAATGCTGTATCCATACTGAGAAAAAGGAATCTCCCTCCAACCAAGCCTCAAAGTCAGTTAGCAATGACTTTGACCAGCTATGTGGCCTCAAGCCCCATCCACTTCACCTCTCTGACCTTGATTTTTCTTATCTAAAGAACCAATTTGTTGAGCCAGGTGATCTCTAAAGACCTACCCAGACCTGGCCTCTTGTGATTCAGAGTGTTGCGAGAATAAAACTCTCAAAAGCCTTATTCAGGTGCTTTCTGATTTGGCCATCTGTAATGGGAGTATGGGACCTTGTAAATGCATACCTACTTCCTTCAGAGAACCTTCGTGTGCTGGCCTTTGTAGAAGAGATGTTGTTTATGTCAACAGCATCCCACCTGGAAGAGGAACATGGACTTGTCTTGCTGGGGGTCAGAATATGGGGGCCTCATCTAGCCACCTTCTCCTCTCTAGCCTCTTTCATTTTGAGTGGCACCTCATTCAGAAGCCAGGCTGCTGGGAACTAGCAATGTGTATCCATGGAACAAGTGCCAGGGTTTCCTCTAGGCGAAAGTTTCTAAAGCACCATGGATACTACACTTCCAGGAACTGCCTAAAAGAGAACGGCAAAATTACTTCTTTGTAGATGGGGAAGCCCTGGCACAAAGAAAGAGGCCTGGTGTTGAGGTCGGGACAATATTAAGACTGGAAATGGAACTTAACCTTTTGGATTCAGTAGTAAGACCCTAGATAGCTTTTTCTCTCCTCTAGATTTCATCCTCATACAGGACTTATCACATGCTTGTGCTGGGGGCCATTAATGAGGGCTTTTTTTTTTTTCTCATTTCGGCAGCTCCAAACGACCATTTGCTTTATAGTAACCGGTCCCAAATTTATTTTACCTTGGAGTCTCATGAGGATGCACTGCATGATGCAGAAATAGCATGCAAACTGCGCCCAATGGGTTTTAAGGTGAGTGTGGGACAGGAGGGATGGGAAGGGGCTGTGCCACAGATGCAGACAGGGATTGGCATAAAGGTCTGTCCCCCTGGGGCAGGAGGTATTAGAGCTCCAGCAGAGCACTGAGAGGGAGAGGGCTTTCCAAAGGAGCTGGATGGTGCAGGGTAACCCATGGCAAAGGGAGATTCAAAGCTGCAAGTTATTCTTCCCTAACTCCAGCTTCAATTGGTGACCCATAGAGAAGCCCAGTCTTTGTGACTGTCCAAAATATGGAATTGGAAGCCAGACAGCCTGGGTTTACGTCCCGGCTCTACAACATTTCCTGACTACATGGCCTTGGGAAAATTACTTAATTTCTTTGTGCCTAATGCCCTCGTCTATAACACACTGATATTCAAAGCACCTAGTAAGTATGGTTATTATAAAGATTATTATAGTCCCTGTTGGAAGATGCCTGGAACAATGTATGTAGCATTACAGGAGCTTTTGCTATCACCACCATCATCTTCATATTTTTTTATTTTTTTAATTTAATAACCACATGTTTAGAAGAAGCATTTCATTACAGCTTTAACATATTCAATAACAATTTCCAGAGCAGGACTACATCTCTTTCAAAAGTGGCTATAAATTTTTTGGTTCACAGTTGAATTAATACAGTTATGCAATATTGAATCATTTTTATAAATTTCTGGGGACAGTAGGGAGAGGAGTGTGAGAAAACTATGCTGGCCTGGTCCTCCAGAACTTCTGATAGCCAGGCTTCTCCGGAGCTTCCAGATTTCTTTGAAGATCTCCTCATGCTCACACAATTCCTGTGCCATTTTGAGTCATTAGTATAGTCATTTGACATGCCAGTATACCCCAAATCTAGGTCGCATGGGAGAGGTGGAAAGACGGGCTAGATAATCAGACAGCTCACAGAATGCCTGAATACAAAGTGTCACTTTCTGCATCTCTGCCTAGCCTCAGAACCCACCTCTATCATGCATCTGTATTTTGTTTAGAAGATTAGATTTGAGCCTGGGACTCAAAACATGCAAACAAAATGACCGTGGGGAAGTGGCTCCACTCTCTACTTTTATTTGTAAAATGAAGCTATTACTATCTGCCATGACTGCCTCACGGGTGTGCATAAGGATCAGAGGTGGGCATGACCAAGAGAATGTTCTGCAGCCTGTAAAGTATACAGGATCTTAATGTAGGGTCCTCTGTGTATAGCTCAAGGGTGTAAAAAAAGCAACTTCTTCAAAATCAGGGCCATTGTGTCTTATCTGTAGCTCATGGGAATGGGTGAGCTCAGAATCCAGAATTTTTCCGATGGTAGAATACTCTCAATGATCTCTGAATGGCCTCTCAGTCACTCTAATTAAACAAACTGTCTCTGCAGCAATGTGCACACAAACACACTAAGTAGAACAAAAATTATAAAGCACTTTACATCAGTTTTGGTCAGGTATTGTTACCTAATGAATGGTTATGTCAAGCCTATGAAAATATTGAATTATCAGAAGTTTTTTGGATTTAGGAATTTCAGATTAATGCCTTGTGGAGCTGGGCGTGATGGCATGCACGTGTAATCTCAGCACTTGGGAGGCTGAGGCAGGAGAATCATGAGTTTGAGGCCAGCCTGGGATATATAGTGATACAGTCTGGAAAAAAGAAAGTATGTGAATCTATATACTATGCCTATACTATCAATGTGAATCTCATATTCTTCCACGAGAATTTTTATGGATGATGATGGATCAGTGTGTTCTCTTTTCCAAAGAAAGAGCAGCTTAATACAAGTCACTAAAGCCTTAAGTTGTAGTGTGATTGGTCCAGGCTTCCTAGCATGCAAAGTCAGGGGGCTGCCTGGGGGATGAAAGGGACTTTTCTTGCAGGATTTTCTACTTGGCAAACTAAGTCTAGGGCCTAGATAGTTGGGTTGCAGGACTGAGAAGCATGTTCTGGATAAAATAAGAAAAGTTACTTTTCAATGGAGGAAGAGAAGGTACAAGTATTTATCAGGAGTTTCATTTCCCCCAAATTGGGAGTAAAGGGGAAGGTAGAATTCAAAGAACTCTGTTGTCCTCGGGCCTGAAAGAGGCCAATGTATAATTCCAAAAGGGCCTCCGTACTCTTATTTTCACATTTCCTACCATTTCTGTATGAAATGCCCCAAGGGAGCAAATCCAGTATGCAGCCTCATTCCAACTAGGTATTCAGGGCCAAGTAGCATTCAGCATGTCTTGCAGGTAGTACATCTGTCATGGGGGTAAGCTGGCCACCTGAGGATGCAGAATGTATAAATTGCTGCTGGATTGATTACTGGTAGCCTGTCTAGTCTTCCAACACTTATCCCTTCTGGCTGCTCTGAAATGTCCTGCAAGCTTTTCTCCAGAAGACCCCTGGAAAACACTTGGGGAGGCACAGCAAGGGAGTATATGAGCCAAGATTAGGCTCCAGAAAGAAGTGATAGCATGGAGAGAGAAGTAGCCAAGAGGGTTATAACTGTGACCACTGCTCAAGACAGGAGCTACCAGCTAGGCCCTGAAACCATGCAGAAACATGTTAGAAGAGGAGGCAGGGAAATGCCCAGCAACGCAACCTAGGCCTTTTCATTCACTGTCCCGAGGCACAAAGAGAAGGCAACCCTTTCTTCTCTTCTTTTCTTTCTTCTCTTTCTCAAGGATGCTGCTCTGCTCATTCTAGAGAGTCTAGCCCAGGGCACTTGTGCTTGAACCCTGAAGCCATAAAATGTTTTATTTGTAATAGCTGATCCTCCAGGAGCAAAATTGGCCTTAGCTCAGTCATCAATCAGCCTGCCCATGAGAAGCTGAGTGTTCTGGGAGTCCTAAGGCCACAGTTCCAGTTCCAGATTGCTGCTAGTGACATTTGTGGTCTTACAGGGTCATGCTCCTTCACTTGGGTCTCTTGAAAAACTATTGGCAAGTCTAGCTGCTCACTGGACCTGCTGTTGTCTTGCAGGTCAGTTCAAAGAGAAGCAAATCATTAATGTCTGTTGGTTGTTGAAAGCTGAGCTATTAGAGTAGTTAAATGAGGACTCTGGTTATGAAAGTTGTGTGGTGAAGAGGAGGTAGTGAGCATAGTGTCTAAGAACATAGGCTTTGATGTAGTCAGCCTCTGATTTAAACCTGGATTTCACAGTTTACTGGTTGTGTTACTTTGGGGAAGATATTTTTTCTGCATCTTGATTTTGTCTTCTTTAAAGTGGGATTCAGAATAGTTTGCCAGTCTTATAGGGATGAAGATAAAAGAGTTCTTTGTTATCAAAGAACTCAAAAGTAACTGCTCGGTAAGTACTCAATGACTGTTGAATAAGACAGGACTGATTGGTAATGTTTTCTTCTAGGCGCACTTCAGAAAAGCTCAAGCCTTAGCCACCCTAGGCAAGGTGGAGGAAGCACTGAGAGAATTTCTGTATTGCGTATCCCTTGATGGAAAGAACAAAAGAGCCAGAGCTGAAGCCCAAAGGGTAAGTTGAATGAATCAGGTTCAGGTCCTAGTGGACCCCCAACTACACTGTCTTTTCTAGGGAGAAGGATGAAGATGCAGCCCTCCTTGGCATTTGGGGTCCTGAGTGGGTGGTTCTCTGGGTTCAAGGGATATGAGAGAGACATGAGTGCCAGCTGATTACCCAAAAGCACCGTCAACTTGGTTTGCACTATCAAATTAGCAAGTCCTACATTTGTTGTAGGAGCCAGTGAGGAATGCTTTGACTTGAAATCAGTAGAATATCAAATCAAACTAAATCAAGTAAGCTGATCTTGGAATGGAGGCTCACTGAGAAGATTCTGTTAATGAGCAATCAGGAGGTAGAGGATGCTTGCAGTTGTATAACTTTTCTCTGGTTGAATTACAGTTGTGTCATTCGCACAGGGAGGGTAGCTCCTGGGACGGGACATGATGGTGTCTATATCCCTTGCCATATACAGAACTCCAACCTTCTCTTCCTTTGCTGGAAACTAAGTACACTAGTTCTCAAATATAAACTACAGACAATTATGATATAATCCAGCTAGTTCTTCCAACTCTAGGGTCCTAAGAGAATGCAGTTGTAAAAAAGAAATTGTGAGAAATGCCACAAGTGCGATTGAGGCTCTCAAGCATTCTCCTTTGATGGGCTTTGATGTGTATTGTTTTCCAATTTGCTCACCTGGTGTCTTGACTTAAAAATTGGATGCTGACAATCAGTGGTTCTCTCTGGTTTTCTGTCCCCACACACCAGGCCACAAGCCCCTCTAACCCTATATAATGGTTTGGCAGGGCAGTAGAGGAAGAAAATGAGCAAGAGACAGGACCCGTCTCTAAAAAGTCTAGAAAGGAATAGTGAGCAGAACTGATAAAGTTGGCAGAAGTTGGGCTCTGGATTTCCTGATTCTGGCAGAGACTTTCCTGACTGGATGTTTGTTTTGATCTGGTTTCATTGTATGGACAAGGTTTTCTGGCTCAGACAGAGTTGCTTACAGTCTGTAGACCCTTTCCTAAAACTTAAAGTGTAGTTCAGGGTACAATAACATTACTTGAGCATTTCCTATACACCAGGCACTGTGGTAGGTACTTTAAGTGGAAACTATCATTTAATCTCCACAACTTCACTATGAAGGTAGGTACTGTTATTAGTAAAAAACTTGCCTTTGGGGACAGGGTATTGAAAGGCTTTAAAGAGGAAAGTCTTGAGCTCAAGAAGAACAGTTTCTTTACCTCCCCTTTGTTCATTCTTCAGTTGGCTTGAGAGGTTCTGGTATCACTCGTTGGACTGACCTTTCTCTCCAGTTTGCTTTTATACATGGGTTGTTGTCATTTCTATACCCACTTGTTAAAAAGCAAGGCATTGTGTGAAACTATGGAGACCCAAAGTGGCTTAAGTTCCTTAAAGACTTTACAAGCTTTTTCTGGTTAATATGAGTTCTAGACAATACCAGTGAGTGTGCACTTGAGATAAGTGTTATAGGGTTCTGAAGTTAATGTGAGAATTTGGGGGCAATTTCTGCTGAGTATAATAGAACTGTAGTGACCATTTAAGAACACTGAGGGGGTTGGAGAGATGGATCAGAAGTTAAGAGCACTGACTGCTCTTGTAGAGGAACTGGATTTGATTCCCAGCACCCACATGGTGGCTAACAACAGTCCCTAGTTCTAGGGGATCTGACACCTTCTTCTGACCTCCTCAGGCATTGCATGACACAGGCGCATCTACCCACATGCAGGCAATACACTCATATACATAAAATAAAAAAATAGAATATAAAAAAATTAACACTGAGGGGCCTCAACTGCATGTCAACTGGATTATGCTAGTTTCAGAGTTAAACATCTGACAAAATGGTTCAGATTCACTGGGCATTAATATGTGTCCTTACAACTCACAGCCCTTTTTGTTTTTCGTATATCTATAGATTCTTTTGTTCCCCTCTTTCCTTCTTGACCCAGTTGGGCCTTTCTGAAATTATAGTGGAACTGACTTTCATTCATGTGAAATGATTATTCTCACTGAGTTGACCTGAGCTTAGGTTTTCCAAAGCCATCGAGAAGGAGAGATCTTGGGTAGTTAAGCTAAGAAGGGAACTTCTGTCATTATTTCTGCCTTGTTTCTTTTGATTCCTCCTCCTGGACTCCTGTTGCTCCTGTTACCCTCCTTTTTTCATCTTTGTACCTGGGTGCTATATGATTGTCTTCAGGGAGATTGCCTGCCTCAGAAATGAGTTTGCCCTGTTAGGTCTCTGGGATTTCTGCAGACCAGCTTTGGTTCATGGGGAGGGGTGAGCTCTGAAAGATGACATTTATAGCCTTGGGCACTGTAAGTGATTTCCTATCTTTGCCAACTTATACCTGGAAAGTAGGGTTTTTAGCAAACATAGGTGTCTGTCTGAAGATTTAAAGCCTGAATGGTAGATTTCTTCTTGGGCTCTGGAATGGATAAATGTCTTAATTCATTTCTACTCAGTGTGATGTGTATTTATTAGGCATCTTTCTCTGGCTGAAGAGAAAGATGAATTTTATGATACAATTCCAGGGCAAAATAAGATGGTATAGTTTAAGGTGCTGCATATAGTTTTTGGTCTTTAGGAAACATCAAAGGACAGGTGAGATCAATGAGATGGGAGTATTGAGGAAAGGTAACACTTAAACTGAGCTTTGAAGGCTGAGAAGGAGTTGGCTGAAGGATAAACACTGCTGTGTGAAGGGACATCATGAAGAAACTTCAGAGGGCAAGCAAGAGAATAAGTCAGACTTGAGTTTATTGTTCTGTCAAAGTCCCTTGATAGATTAATCCTCTATGTAGCCTGAACAATCCTCTATGTAGCCTGAAAAATGTGGGACATCTTCTAGTGGGTCTCCAAACATGGCAGCCCTTGCTAAGTGGTAAGCATTTTAGTATGCTTTTTAAAATTAATTTTTATTTTATGTATATGAGTGTATTGCGTGAATGTATGTTAATGCACTTGTGTCGTGCAATGCACTGGGGTCAGAAGAAGCCTTCAAATTCCTCTGAAACTGGAGTTATGGATGGTTGTTAGCTGCTGTGTGAGTGCTGGGAATTGAGCCCAGGTCCTCTGCAAGAGCAGCCAGTGCTCTTAACCTCTCTCTCTCCTCTCTCTCTCCTCTCTCTCTCTCTCTCTTCCCCATAGATAGATGCATACTTATCCCTAATCCCTGATGGCGCAAGGGAGGCAAGAATGTGAATAGCTAATGGTGCAGCTGCACTCACATTCCTATCTCTGACTCCCAGTCCCTTTGGGTTCTTCTCCCTCCACCCTATCAGCACACCCAGTTGCAAGGGAACCTGCCTGCCATGACTTGGCAGGTTCTGCATAGATGACCAGGATGAGAGGGAGACTAGAAGGAGAGAGGGAGTTTGAGTTCTACTTTCTGAACTCTTCACTGTTTGAGTCTCCAGATCTGAGGGAATTAAAACTCCAGGGATGATGATGTGAGTAGGAGGAAGCAAAATAGGTAGATAAAGAAAAGCAGCAATAAAGAACCCGAGATCCATATGTTGACGTCTGTGCCCATTGAGTCATTATGGACTTGACCCCACATTCTCCAGCTGAGGTATCTCCTCTGACTCCAAGTCTCTTTCCTTACGGGTAGATTGTAAAGTCCTACTGCAGATATGTCTGCAAAATGGTGGCCCCATACTGGTGGCTCTTAACCTTGGCTAAGTAACAGAGGCATTTGTCATGCCTTCGCAAAACCCAGATTCCTGGATCATACCTCAGAACTGGAGAAACAGGAATGGGAACCAGGAACTTGACTTTTTCATAAGCTCTTAGGTGATTCTTTTTTTTCAAAAAATTATTTTAAAAAATATGCATATGTGTGAGGTTTTATGTAGGGGGTCTGTCCTAGTTTGTTTCTTCATTGCTGTGACAAAACACTCTGACCACTACCAACTTGGGGAGGAAAGGGTTTATTCAGCTTACATCTCCCAGGTCGCAGTTCATCAGGGAGCCCAAGTAGGAACTCAGGGCAGGAACCTGGAAGCAGGAGCTGGAGCACAGGCCATGGAGGAAGTCTGCTTACTGGCTTGCTCCGCTGGCCCCTGCTCAGCCTGCTTTCTTATGCAACACAGGCCCACCTGCCCAGGGGTGGTACCACCCAC